TCCAAAAAGGATGGCACATATTGTTTAAGGAAGCATATTAGGCATTGTCTTAAGCGTCTTCCTGAAATTCGTATTTAAGAATTAAGAGTAAGTTGATTCGAGACTATTAGTGTAAACTTGAATTGAGGGATGCCCTCTCTGTTTTTGTTGCACGGTGTTTGATTCTACTGCTACTCGTTAGTGGTTGTTACTATCTTAGCTTGTTGTGATATTTATTTACTTCTTTTGCCCTTCAAGTACTTGTTGTGAATGTGATAATCAGGTGTGCATCTTCCATGTATGTGCTGCTACATGTTGTTAGGCAAATTTAAATGTTTCTTACACGCCTTTTGTTAGGCAGATTTGATTATTTAGTGTTGCTGCCTTTTGTTAGGCTGAATGGCCAATTATTTAGTGTTGGTGCCTTTTGCTTAATGCTTAGGCTCTTAGCACTTAGCAGTACATGACATGACTATGTATTAAACCGAAACCATACTAAAATTGTACCGAACCAAAATAAGAAATACCGAACCGTATCGAAATATTTTGGTATGGTATTTGGTATACATGATTGATAAATCGAATACCGAACCGAAATTTTTAAATGCCGTACCGAATACCAAATGCCCACCCCTACCTACTACACAAACTCTCAGTCTTTAACTGCCAGAAGAGCAATTGTTTATTCTTTCTTTCTTTTTCCATGACTGAGGGAAAACGCAGTGAAAATTGGCCTACCAATATATCCTTCTCCTCTTAAATACAAATTTCGTTCAGCAGCCATGTTACAACCTCGTGACGTAAGCCTACCACACATCATACACTATACCACCTTTTGCTGTTGCACAGGCAGAACGCTTGTTCATTCTGGTATATTATTGTTTGAAGCTATGTCACTATATCTGACTTCTCTAAGCAGTCCAATAAAAGAAAGTAAGGAAATATATCTTATTGCTCTTACTACTCTACCAATTACAAGGCAACAAGAACTATAAAAGGCGGTTGAATTGCAAAGATTCAACCATTACTAAACAAACATTCAATTTAAAAAACAAAACTTAATTTCTGGCCTGATAGGAGCTTAACTGGAGCGACACAGCCAGTGAAGATTCATATAGCCGGCCCAACTTGTTTGGGATTAAGGCATAGTTGTTGTGGTAGTAATAGTAGTATCAATCAATCAACTAACCTCACTCTCAAACTAGTAAGGTTGGGTTACAAGAATCCTCTACATCTGTTATGCTCTATTTGGACCATTTCATTCCATCACTCAATAATTTGACAAATTAGAAACTTATCAAAATCTATTTGACAAATTAGGATTTTGGAAAAACTGGAGGTTATCTGAATCTCACACTCAATCTAAACGACACACTTGCTACTACAATAACAGACAAAACAAAAAAGACTTCGGACAACAATTAAGCTTTAATCCAACTAATCAGATCATCTATGATGATCCTTCTGCAACTTTACTTCATGGAACCACCACAACAAAACGAAAAATCTGCTATATACACTGTAATATTAACTAACGGATAACTTAAACAGTTCATACCTTGAATCAGAAAAAAGTCACCTCCTGATTATTATAAAATGTATACAAACAAAGCCCTAAACTTTCTCCATTTCTCAAAAATTAATTTATACACAAATCACAACTATAATTATAATCACAAAAATTCGATAAGGCATTTCAAAATTAAGAAATATTTGGATATGAATTTGTCACTTACAGGCTAAGGACACAGCGAGTGACTTGTTGGCCTTTGTGAAGGCATTTCTCAGGGTTAGGATCGTCTTTTTTGCACTTAAGATATGCTACGTTCTCGCTCCGGCATCTTATGTCAATGTGCTTCGACGCCGACATCAGCACCGCCGATGTTGGGATCGGATTCCCTACTGCATCCACTGCGCTACTCATTCTCCAATCGGCAAAACTTCTCACAACTATCGAAACTTCGTTCACTCTCTCTCTGAAACTGGAGGTAGTCTTCAGATTGCTGCTGGTAGATTTCTACCAAAACTTGGGCTGTTTATTTGGGCCGCTGTGGCTTCTGAATTGGGCTGAGGCCTTGTAATTGATCAAGTGACCTAAGAGCTTTTGAAGGGCGAAGTGCACAATTAGCCGTATTTAGGACCCTTATCTAAAAAATAACCGAAATTCAAACATACGGGTATAAAATATAAAAAACATTAAAGTTTAGCCTCTTTAGAATTAGCTTCTGAAGTTTCAATTTAGACCTTAGAGGTCTGAAGTTGGACTATGTCAAAACCTAACTTCAAACCCAATGGTCTGAAGTAATGTTGTACGGTGGGCCGGGTTGGGACCGGGACCGGATCGGACCGGGCCCACGGTCCTAACGGGCTAAACGGGTATGGCGGGCCAGTCCTTGTGGGCCGGTCCCTAATGGTGCAAAAAGCCCATGGCGGGCCAGGTATGGCAAAAAGCCCACGAGCCCGGGACCGCTAAGCCCAGGACCGGCTGGCGGGCCTGGGCCGGTCTTATCGGGCCTAATGGCTACTTTTTTGAAAAAAAAATACCAACGGTCAAAAATTAAAATTATAGCCGTTGGGCTGCAATTTTGGCCGTTTGGAAGTTTAAAAAATAGTCATTGGCCCCCAAACTTTATATAATTACACTTTTTCCCAATTTTCAACTATAAATACCCCCTCATTATATATACTATAATTGCTACTATAATTGCTTATTTTATATATACTACAAGAAAATATATATATATATATATATATATATATATATACACATAACATACAATATATACTACAAGAAAATTTATAAGATATATATATACACATAACATACAATATATACTACAAGAAAATTTATAAGATAATATATATAC